GTCTTAAAATTCGCTTGCAACTAAATCATTAAATGTTACTTTTTGGGGGCATTTCATTTTCTTGGAATTGAATTTTGTTTTCAGGGGTCATTGGATTTAAGTGTCTTAAATAAATAAGTAAGTAAGTTAAGTAAGTTAAGTAAGTAAGTAAGTAAGTAAGTAAGTAAGTAAGTAAGTAAATAAATAAATAAATAAATAAATAAATAAATAAATAAATAAATAAATAAAAAGATATCACCGTGGGGAGGGGGGCGATGATAACTTCCTCAATGGCTCAAGGGGGCGTTTCTTTCAAAAAGGTTAAGAACCACTGGACTACACAAAAGCATTTGACTGTGGACCACAACAAACTATGGCAAGTTCTTAAAAGTAATGGGAGTGCCTGACCACCTTATCTATCTCCTGAGAAACCTATATGTGGGACTGGAAGCAACAGTTAGAGTGGGATATAGAACAAATGATTAGTTCAAAATTGGGAAAGGAGTACGACAAGATGGTTGAGAGTCCCCTGGACTGCAAGGAGAACAAACCTATCCATTTTGAAGGAAATCAACCCTGAGTGCTTACTGGAAGGACAGATCCTGAAGCTGAGGCTCCAATATTTCGGCCATCTCATGAGAAGAGAAGACTCCTTGGAAAAAACCCTGATGTTGGGAAAGTGTGAGGGCAAGAGAAGGGGACGACAAAGGACGAGATGGTTGTATAGTGTCATCGAAGCTATCAACATGAATTTGACCAAACTCCGGGAGGCAGTGGAAGACAGGAGGGCCTGGTGTGCTCTGGTCCATGGGATCATGAAGAGTCAGACACGACTTAATGACTAAACAACAACAACACCCATGATTCAAAATTTTAGGAAATACCCCCGTACTGTTGCACAAAATTGTGTACACATTGCCAGCAGGAAAAAGGATGCCAAGCTTTACATACTATTTTGGATTTAATGAAGTCATGAAGCAAATCTGTGTGTAAATACAGGACATACAACAGAAAAACATACACATACACACCCTTTAACCTCTCAGATTAACTAATATTGCCTGCTCTGTAGAAAGCTATCTTCCTATTTCCAATCCTTTTCCTTAGGGTGGGCAACCTGAGGAAGAAAAGCTATGTTGGACCAAAAGCTCTCCGAACATGTCCCTTCACCTTTTGAAAAAAAAAAATTAAGGTTTTGGAGTTAGCAGAGATGATCACTGAAAACCAAGGTCAAAATTATCCATACTACCTACAAGGAAGACAGTGAAGGAAGGTGGAGGGAAAATCAACTCATTTGAAATTTGGTGTTGGAGGAGAACCTTGCAGATACCACAGAAAGCCAGAAAATTTGTGTTCCATCAAGTCAAGCCTGAACTCTTACTAGAACAACAATTTGTAAACTGAGGCTATCCTACAATTCACATAAAATGAAAATATAGAACTGACTTTGCTGGAGAAAGTGGTGGGGTGAGCAGTAGGAAGAGAAGAAGAGATAGCATGAGGTATTTACAGAAGCAAACTCTTGACAATCTACTAGCAAGCTAAATCTTGTCTTATTTCTATGGTATGCATCTGCTGTTCCCATTTAAAGTTGGAAAGAAGATGTTAAATTTCCAATCGTAAATATTTTAAGAGTTTATCAGGAAACTATAACTAATGTCAATAACTGACAAAGTAAGAGTCTTGATTATAAACATTCTATTGGTTAATCAGACAAATTACATTAACAAATCAATGAACACCACATTTAAACCACTGTACATTTACCATAACTAACTGGACTTGAATTAAGTAGTGTATATAGTTACGGAAACACAGAAAGTATGTAATCTAAATTTGCCTAAAACTTCATTTCAGGCCACCTAGGTCTTGATGCTTATCAGTAGTTCTAAAGCCAATTAACTGGATTTTTTTTTTAAAAAAAGCATGAGTTATCAAATTATCAAATGCTGAACACATAAGGATTCAGCAGCTGGAACAGAACACAGCCTGAATTGGTTGCTCTGTGGATTGTTTCATACATCAATAATAATGCCTTGCAGCAGAGGTTTAGACTCAATTAGCCACTGCTTCTTCCAGCTCATAAAAGCCTCTCAGCAAATGTACAGCAGGGATGTGGCAATCAATGTTGTGCTGCCCAAATGACCTTGTTAGAATGCCCACTGTCATTAAACAAAAAGAAAGTCTCAAAGAAAGAATGAAAAGCATAGGAATAATTCATATTAAAAAAAATACACATTCAAAGCATTGTTCAACTTCTGTAATTTTTGAAATCAGAAAATATCTTCTCTTGATCTTTTATCATTTTTACTTTTGAATGTATCATCTAACCATTCAAGACACTACGTCCTTTTTGCAAGTTTTTACTCTGGAGTGGGGAACCTTTTCTGCTCCAGATCTTTCCAGCTTCAGTTTGAAAAGCCAAGGCCAGCATGACCAACAGTAAGATACATCTGTTTTAACTACAACTCCCACAAGGGGAAAATGTTATATGGGGAACATGTCCCCTTATCTCCAAGGAGAAACCTTCCTTTAATGAGGGTGCCTTTTGTTTGGATCTCCAGCATAAGTCACTGGTGGCAAAAAAAAAAAAAAAAAAAAAACTTGTGGCTTTTATTATTTCTTTGCCAGACTGTAGGAAATTATTTAGCTGCCTTTATGTTATAGGATCCAGAAATCCTAGATGTAACCGAGGAGAGCATCCCTAGGCCAGGCAGGATTCAAGTTGAAAAAAGGATGACCAGACAACCCATCCTCTTTTTCTCAACCTCCTTACAGGATTAGGCCCTGGAATCCAATCTGCTGAGGCACAAGCTGACCCAACAGGCAGCTGCCCCCCCACTCACAAGCGTAACCACTGTTTTCTTGCACCCTGATTATTAAAATATACCCC